CGGAAACTCCTCAGTTTTACTACATTGGATGTATGTGCAATGTACTCTTTTTTCCTTCGATCAGGTTTTTATCCCATGTGGTTTTTCCTGACAAGGTTTTTAATGAGGCAACATTTAGCACGTCCAACATGATATCATTGTCTGGTGGACATCCAATGGGGAGTGTTATAAATCCATACGTTATGGGTTTATAGGTTATGGATGCCCACAATAATATCCATCATTATATACATGTAACCTACCAATGTATTTGTACTCTACCAACCAATGTATTTGTAACCTATCAATTATGGGTGGTAGGTGATTCAGGTATCTCTGCTCCTATAAATAGTGGCACCAAATATGAATGAAAGACAAGTTGATTTGAGCAAATTATACTGTCTCTTTCTTCCTCTTATTTCTCCCTACATATTCTCTAGTTTTATAACAAATAGATCTTTATCCTTGATGACCTTTTTTTGATTTCTCAAGAATGAACACCTTTGTTGGAAAGACCTTTTCTTTCTCTTGATTTTGACTCCTTCACCTTAAGGCTCCAAGATTGGAGTCCTCTACCTCACCACACCAAATGCTCCTAGAGATGAAGAGAAGGTAATCAAGAAGTATGGATGCTAGTTTACTTCTTGATTGGACCAATTTTTGGTTTATGGAAGATGAGATACAAAGATGATCACTCATCAACCAAAGTAGGAAACCAAAAACCCTAGCTAGGTTTTCTCCAACACTTAGCTTAAATAGGACAACACAAAAAAGCAAAGGGCTTAGGTGCCGAATTTTTGGGTGGGTATTGGGGCTTCATTTGCTCTATGGGTCATGTCATCTTATGCCACTTTATCCCTTGGGCCCAATAGCCTTTTGGGCTATTTTGTCCATTTTCTTTTAAATCATATTTAAAGGCCCAATCCAATATTTCTATTTGTCAATATTAATTCAATAATTAATCATTTAATTATAATTATAGTCTTACTCAATTGATCCGGTCGAACTATTAGACTTTGGTCAATTGCTCCGGTCAACATGTTGACTTTTGACCGTTGACATTTGATTATCAACCATTGACTTGTGCTTCCTCATTTCATTTCTCCTCATTTGTACCTCTAATCACGTTTTTTGGGTGTGCAGATCTGTAGGTTCCCTTTAGCAAGGTAGTGGGTTGACTCAACTCCTTAGAGATGATATACGAATTAAATTCCACAATTTAATTCTTCCTATTAATAAAGGTTAATTGAAACCTTTTAGGACATCCACAAACCATGGTTGTCGCCTAGCAATAAGTCACGGTTACCCGAGCTAAATGAGACGTTGTGAAAGAACCTATTCAAATTGGAATGATTGTGCAATTGAATCATTCTCTTATGTCAATACTCCTTATTCACATTATTAGATCATGAAATCCGATTGTCAATATCATAATGTGAATAATTCCTTTTATATGATTATCCTGGTAAGACTTGAAGACTTCTTCTTTCAAGTCTCATCCACTACTCTGCGTAGAGATTTGACAGATTTGACCAATCATATCTTGGAGTATTCTCTCTCCTTTACTGAGAGTAGAGATTCCTTGTTGTAGATTCATTTGCTTCCATGACTCTATTGAGAATCCTGATGAGCACCTTTAAGCTATGCCTAATTCAGCATGATCGTATAGTGCCCTCAAAGATTAACAACATAGCCACAAAACATCTATGATGCCTTAGGTCTAAGGAATAGTTTGCACCATTGCAATTTATGAGTTCCAGCTTGACATGTGAGTAAAGACTTCCAAGCTGTAACTCATGTGTTGGATTGCGTTCAGTGTGCTTATTCTTCTACAAGCACATACACACATATCGATGTGTCTCCACACTTAATGACTTGAGACCTTGCCATTCCCTACATATAGAGACGATATTGTGTGTACTGGTCTTTGCGGAATATTGACGCCCAATCAATATTCCTATGACTAGGAACATATTCAGGATCTAGGGATGATGAGAAGTCTCCATGTATGCAATCTCATTAC